ACCGAGTTATGGTTTTCGGAAAAAAAAAATACGATTATATTTAAATATTCTGATTTTTTAAGTTAGATCATGCCTATTGTGATTGACATATTATTCAAATGTTTATTTGGCGAAATAAAGTGAGCTTATAGCGAACTTTTTGGGTTTAATATCCTACTTTTGCTTGGTGAAATGTTGAAAATTTGAATGTTTTGAATTTAAAACACTCTTTTTGAAATTTGCCTAAGAACATGTTGAGTATTGTGTCAAATTGGTAATTAAAACAACCGTCGAGTCCGATCAACTCATTGATTGTTTGGATGATAAGTTATAGCCTTCCATCTCAGTGCCTTGCAACACGTGAGGGTATACCGGTATTTTAGGATAATTAGCCAACCTTGAACTATAACCCGAATGGGCTAGGTCGAGTGGTCGAGATGGCGGGTTCCCTTTTTGGGTGATTCAGAGGTGCCCGTCATTCACGATGAAAAGGTCTTTAGACCGTCATCTGTGATGGAGGGATGAATTGCGTACAATCCCCTCTTGGTATCTTATATTGGAGACTAAAGGGTTGTGGGGTGATCGAAGATTTTTGGAGATTTAAAAATATCTTTTAAGATACAAAAAAAAGATATATGTATAAAATAAAAATAGTGTCGTGTGTGTTCGTGTAGTAAGTCCAAAAACTTCGCCAAAAATAAAAAATCTCTTTAACCGGTGCGTGTCCGGGTCGAACTCAGGGAATATGCAAATATCCAACATTTAATTAGAAAAGAAGTGCAATGAGTTAATGCAATCGAAGAAACTGAAAAGATAAATTGCAGAAATCAAATATAACTAAAAGCGATAAAATGTACGTATCTCGAAAAGGATGAAGCGAGGCGTTTGTGTCTGACTTTTGCGTTCCTTAATGGCTAGATTTCCATGGATGAAATGAGCGGGATGACGATGACATGATAGCGAAAAATATATGTATAATTGCGGGGCGGCTCGGAGGAATGAACGTGATTGCATTTGCTCATTTAAGCCGATTCTCGACTACGTTGGTACTCGACCTTAGGGGATTTACAACAAGGCTTTAACGACACCCGGTGAAGAATATTATAAGCAAGAAACTCTACTATAAGACTTTGGAACAATTCGAAAATTACAAAAATGAAACGATTCGGTTTGTCACTAGAAATTTCTGTGACCCAATAGACCACCGCCTATGTCCCATGAATTATTCTTTCAACCGTTCCGGTAATGGCTCTACCCCTCTGATACCTCTCTTTAATCGTAATCGAATTCAAAACAGCAACTAAGCAGGTCGACAAGGCTCCCGCGTACTTAGCTACGTTAAACTACCCGGAATCTGTTTGTGACACGAAACAGGGCTGAAATAGTCGATTCTTCTGTCGCTCTTCCGCAACCTTGTCGAAATCCAACTTGAACAATCCAAATCGAACATAGAATTTTGGGTGAAGGTGAGGTGGAGAAATATGATAGAAAGTTTACTAGCTAAAATAATATGTAGGAATTAAAAGAAAATGAGGAGAAAATCAGTTTGCTCGCGATACAAAACCAAAAATCTCGTATTATTAAACTAGATAAAAATATGAGAGAAAAGAAATGGAGAAAAAATAGGGTGTATGGAATGTATATTATTGTGTATATATGGTGTGTATATGTTACAATTAGAGAGAATATTTATAGGGGGAAAAGCTTCGAGAAGCTTGGCGGTTACAACCGCCAATAAATAACTACTTTTAAAAATAACTACTAACTACCTCTAAAAATAATCATAAATAACTAACTCTAAAAATAACTATTAATATAACTACTAATAACTACCTATTTTCTAGAAGATTATATAATAAAAATTACACAAAAAATAGCCAAAACTTGGCTAAAAAGTAGTCCAGAAATTAAATATGGAAGCTGAGAGAGTGCAGAATAAATGCAGAGCTGAGGGAGCCTGGGCACTAAATGCAGCGAAATTCTGTGCAGGAATTATTGTGGCAGCACAGTAAATGCACCACTGACCAGCGGCAATTAATACAGCCGCCGTTGACCAGCGACAGTAATTACAACCGTCGCTTGCTTTCTGCGTTCATAAATGCAGTCGCCACTCGCCTTCCGCGCTCGCTTGCCTTCCGCGCTCGCGCACTCCTATGCAGCCGCCGCTCACGGAGTCCGCACCAGCCGCCATCGCTCACTTCCATGTATGGCCTTCCACGCTCATAAATGCAGCCGCCGCTCACGGATTAATGGACATAGAATTCCGCTTCGCTCAAATTTTCGTGCAGCTGCCATCGCTTTCCGCGCTCGCTCCCTTTGTGCAGCCGCCGCTTGCCTTCCGCGCAGCGGTTGACTTTGGCTTTCCAGCGTTGACCGTTGACTTTCGTGCCGGTGACTTTTTTTTCGTTTCTGAAGCCATTTTTTCGCTTTTTAAGCCCAGTTTTGGACTCTCATATCAATTTTCAGGTATTATTTCACCTATATAAATAATAAACACCTTATAAATATATATTTAAATAAATAATACTTATTAAATAAAATATTAAATACTTAAATAGCACATAAATAATGCCTAAAAATATAATTCAAGAAACACATCAATTAATTTAATTTATACACCAAAATAATTATAAATTACACTTAAAAACTAATAAATTAATATTATACAAACAAGATGAAATGAATTCAATTATTAGAATAAATTAACATAAATAATACCAAAATTCGACATAATTAAATAAATATAAGCTATAAAATATGACAAAATCAAGAGTTATCATGGGCATTAGGCGCCCCTCGCAAACTAATAAATAAATTAACTTACGTGTACTTTAGGCTTCGAATCCTTAGATAAACATTGTGGAGCTTTCATTGAGGGTTCTGACCCTATGCTAGTTACGTGTAACTATGTGACGTGTCATACGAAGTAATAAGGTTGGAAAACTGGGTCGAGCCAGCCCTAATTAAGGCCTAGTGGAGTTTTCTTCGTGGTGTGCTCATCACTATTATTTGAGAATGAAAATAAGATATAAGGGAGGCGCTAAAAGACTCGTGTGTGTGAGTTATCCTTATGTGATATGTGTCATCTTATTCAAATTATCTTATTCAAATGATTTTGTGGCATTATACCGTATTAATTTATATTCGATTAATTGTACTTACTCAACCGTTGTGTTGATCCTCTTTCTACAAATTTTTTTTGTAGGTAATAGTGCTTCCGTTATACCTAAATGATGCATTCACGTCATATGATCCATCGGGGGAACTAGAACTACTTTATCTTCTAAAATGTTTTTGAAATCCGTTATTAATGTTTAAAAACTAATGCCTTTTGAACTATTTCCAACTTATGCTTTTGACTCGAACCTTATTTATTTAAACGATAAGCCGGTGCACTTTAATTTTAAATTCCTATTTAGTTGTTTGTATTAATTGATTTTAGCCTTAGCGCCACAATGTAGGGCTCGTTGGTTAATGAACGAGCCTTCTTGTGTGGCATGGCGGTGACACGCCGGTTTAAGCCGGCTGAGGTGTTACAATTGGTATTACCTAGATTAAAGGCTCATGCTTCTTGGTTAATAAGACTTGAAAGCTTTCAGAATTTCTAAAATCAATTAGATCATGGGTTTAGTCGGGTTTGGGTGCATTCATGGCATGCATTGCATTTTATGTTTATTCTGTGTGTTTATGTGCATTGGTTATGCTGTTTGATTAGTTAGAGCTTATTAGGTCTAGTCTCGAGTAGCAAGATGCCCCCTAGGCGTGCTCGTCAGCCCCCTGTGGCACCTTTCTTTCATATCAAGTAGATATGCTAAGAAGTTAGAATTAGATTCTCGAGTAGAGGTTTCGGTAGAGATTACTACCTTCAGGAGAGCTAGTGCCTTGTAGTTGTCTTTTTGTAGGAGTGTCTTCATGATTGGAGACATAGAATTTCCTATTAATCTTTTGAAGCTTAAATTAAAATAGTTGTTTGAGGTAGCTCCAGTCGTGCAGATCGATTTCGAGAACGAAATTTCCTAAAGGGGGAATGATGTAATATCCCGTAAAATAATCGCCGAAATTTTACCGAGATCGGACAAATTTGGACCTAATTTATTTTGGGCTTTTAGTGTAAGAAATAAAGAAATTGAGTTTAAATTATGAGAAAAATTGAGTTTGGACCAATTTGGGCCCAAGTAGGGTAAAATAAATAATAAAGGCTAATAAAGGCTAAATAATAGAGGGCAATCTTAGATGTATCTTCTAAACCATTAAAGCTTTTTCTGATGGTCTAATTCTATAAGATCATCATTACTTCATCGGGATGATGCAATTTTTGGCCTCGGCTGATTGTTTGATTCTATGTAATTTTTCCAAGCGATACACCTCTTTTAAGTTTCAGTGTTTTGATGATTTGATTCTATTATTTGACGGAGTAATTACATCACATATATTATCTATGCAAATAAACCTTCTATGTACATAGTAATAGTACATACAATACCATTTGGAATTAAAACAATATGTATTGTGTGAATTATTATAATATTGTCAATTCATAACATGCATTGTACCTATCAACTATGTTAACACGTGGCACGTGATTTGATCAAAGGTGATATGGATTTTGTAAATTATTACCATGTGTTTTCAATATCTGTTTTATGTTCGTATGCAATCTTGTGTAAAATTAATCATGACGTGTGCATCGTCATCATATATTGATTAAGATTAATCAACACGGTCTGATTAACCGCTGCCATCGGATCATTTAAACCATTAGCATGATAATAAGCTATTGAATCTTGATGTAAATTTGTTGAATTGTAGTAGAGATATTGAAGTGTAGTGTAGATTTATTAATTACGTACATATTGAACAAGAAATCCGATTAACAATTGTCTAAATTTACTGAATGACAAACACGTGTTGTTACTTGACACTATAAGAAAGTCATTTGAACGACAAACAAAATATATTGCTATATCCAATTATTCAACAGAGAATCTGGATTCTTACATATTCATTGTATTCTCTAGTGCTTATCTAAGTTCTTGTTGGATTAATATCTCATTGTTTTGAATCCCATTGCTTTTGCACAATCAGATCAATTACAAACTGTATGGGCAGTACACAACACCCCAGCACAGCAATCGTGAAAAAAATATCGAAAACTACCAAATATAGAATAATACATCGTACAAGACTAGTGGTTTACAACATATCCCAGCAATCTGAAGTGTGGGCTGTCAAAGTGAAACACTTTTAGCCTCCTTCAAATAGATTTCTTGACCCTAGAAGTAATGCAGGATTCAACCGCTGGATGCAGTTGAAGTGCTGCATGAAGAAGGGTAATAATCTAGAACCTCGACAGCCATTGCCTCATTTCCACTTGAGATCTTCGGCACTTCCTTTGAGTTGTTGTATTTTGTAAAAAAATACAAGATAGACTTGTTCTGACTCTGCGACTCTTTAGAAGATTCCGTAGATTGAAAACTAGGACTAGGAGTTGTGCATGAATCAGCTGAGCTGCAGCTGGCATTACTCAGCATAACAGTCTCAGGAGAGCCGGTGATGGCGCATGTGTCCATCGCGGCGGGGTCTTCTTGGTTACAACGAGAACCTTGTTTAAGTTTGAGAAGGGTGGATTCTACAAAAATGAAACCAATAAGAAGATCAAAGATTGTTTTAAAATCTAAAGTATGGCTTTATTTATTTATTTATTTATTTCATTGCGAATTTATTCTTTTCCAAAACTATCACATACAACACTCATTTTTCAATACAAAACATTACATTCAACTGTTATCATAAAAATTTCTGAAACTAGAACCCATATAAAAATACGGACAAACCCATGGGTTTGTCATTTGTTGTTTTTATATTCTCTATCATTTCCAAATAGTTTATATATATAGAGATTGTTCAATAAAAATAAATTATTTTTTTCTCACAAAATACTAAAAAAATAATACTTCATCCGTCCGCCTCTAAGGGTCACATTTACATTTTATGTCGTTTTATTTAATATTAAAACTATTCTTATATTTGTATAATTTTTTTGTACAAATGTCCTTCTATTAGTATTATAAGACACCACTGAAAATATTTTTGCAAATTTTTTTTTAATTTGTATACGTTTTGATATAATAATTAATATTCAAATATCAATAAGACCCTTAGAACCGAATGGAGGTAGTAATAGATACTTTTCTAAACAATATTACAAATTCCCAAAACATTTTCACAATCTCAATTACTAATAATAAGAAACTCATTATTCCGGGAAACAATAGTGTTTGCTTTCAATTTTTATCATTCATAATAAACATAATTTTAAATAAAAATATATTACTTTCCGCACAAAATATTAAAAAAACAACAAAAATAAATATTTTAATAGCAATTTTCACAATTCACAATAACTAAGGGAAACTCCAATAATTCTTAAACACTTTTTATTTGTTTGGTTTTTATTTGAAATTGGAGAGTTGATTTTAGTGATTCAAAAAAATATTTTGATATAATATTTTTTTAAGAGAAAATAGTTCATTTATGTGCAAGTTGAATAGATTTGAAATCATAATCAAACACAATTTAAATGAACATAACCTACTGAAAACATCAAATCCATTCACTATCTTCCACTTCTTCAACTATAAAAATTGAAATCCAAAACAATATAAAGCTATTTGTTACCTTTGCACACAAGTTTTCTATACTAGAAATAAAACAGAAAATAGAAAATATAATGCTTGTCATAAAAAAATATAACATGACTTGTATGTTCGTGTCCACCAATTCATGGGATTTTTAAGAGTTAGTTTTTTTATTTGTATTTTTTTCTAAAAATATCAAATCCAACAACTATTTCATTTTAAAAAAAAAAAAAAAACATTGAAATATAAAGAGCATGCAGACACACAAGCAAATCAACAACAAATGATAGTAAACGTTAATAATCTAAAATGTTAAATCAGTAACTAGTTTAAACTTCTTTGTTTAGAGATGCCTATTTGCTTTGTGAATACCTATATATACATACACAAAAAGGCCGTATTTACTTTGTAGGATTAGATTCTGTTATAAATAAACATAATTGTGGCATTAATAATTCTAAAATTAACCTAATCTAGGAAGATAATCTAAAGGGACTATTATTATACTAAACTCCTTATTGTGAGTTGTTTAAATTTGACAATGACATTTGTATTCAATTCTTTTCCTTTTTCACCATAAACATGTGCAATAAAATTAAAATAACTAATGAACATTGAGATGTAGTTCATAACACTCTATCATTTTTTAACATCCTATAAATACACTTGCTTCTGAAATATCAAAGATGACACAGCTCAATGATTCTCAATAAATCTGCAATCTAATGAAGACTCAAATATGGAACATGCTAACTTTCCAATTCCCAGTTCTTAGTTCAGATGTCTTCTTTGGAAATTCTAATTCAGAACATTAACCAGTGCAATGTACCTCTGCTATCCTTCAATAAAGCCACAACTGGTTTTTAGAATGGATGGCTTTGAAATACATCTGAATTCAAATCCATGATTTGGATTATGTAAATTTGTAGGAAGTATTTGAATAGTATTTCCAATAGAACCAAGATGAACTTTGCAAAAGCGCCCATACCAATCAAAATAGCAAAATAAACTCTGCAGACACTTGTGAAAATGGTTCACATAGAGAGATTTAGAATAATGCGCATATGTAGAAGATTTAAAGATTGAAATATTATGAAATGGACTTCAAATCGAAAAGGATTCAAAATCCATTCACCTCAAATTCTAAAAGACTTTCCAGGATAACATTGTTTATGTACACATTTCCATCAGATGGTCGCACCTAATAGAGAATTCTTTTGCAATCTAACTGTGCTTTGTAGTGCAGAGATTTTCTTATCTGGATGCTAATCAACAACTAACTTAGCTCAATTGGAGCATGAGGAAAGGATAAACAAGGAAATGGACATGATATACAATAGAAGGACAATAGTGTTCGATTACTTGATTGATTCAGTATATAATAATTCATAAACGTGTAAAAACCTATTTCTATGACCCCTATTCATCTTAGGAAGAAGGATGATGAATCCAAATCAAACAAAACACTGATGAAGTAGAAATCTAACCTAACATATGAGTGTGTGTATCTCAGGATATCTTCTCAAGGTTAGGAATTTCTGAGATTATCCATAATTAGACTTGACAGCAGCTTAAGACACAGCTTCGGATCAATAACAGTTCAAATCTAAAAGAAGCAAGACTATGTATTTTCCATGAGAAGGAAGACCATTTCCTCGAATTTTGTCATCCTGACCTTTTCTAAGGAGCAGAATAATCCTTCACTTCCATAATTCCATAGAAAGGCTTCTGATCTGCTCATAAATTTTCCCAAATCGTATAAACCCTAAAATGGCATCCTACTAACAATTCGCAAGACACGAACTATATAAGACATCAAATTAGTAACAACAGAAGGAACTAAAATTCACCAAATCCTATACCAAATCAGCTCAAAAACGACAACGATAGTCGCAATTAACTACGCGACGCCGGCTAATTTTACAGAAAATGACCAAAAGAAAGTAGCAGAAGCGAATTGGAAGAGTACCGTAGATGGAGAGGGTATCGTGCTTGACGGCCTTGGAGGGCGGCCTTTCCATCTCCAGCTGTTCCAGCGAGCTCATCGACGATGCCCTCACTTTCCCCAGCATTATTCCCCCGCCCGCCGCCCGCCGTTCCCTTGGGATTGATGAGAGTCGGAGCACGAACTGGGGGAAAGAGAAGCTTTTTGAAGGCTTCCATTGACGCGGCAAAGGCGAGGGCGTTGAATGGTGTGGCGCGGCGATTTTGTGCAGAGCCCATCTCAGTTGAAAATTTTGGACTATGGGCTTATTTGCTTAATCTGTTTCAGCTAACATCATGGGCTGTGTTGTTTTGGATTTTTCTACCTGTATTAGGTTAAGTTTTAGTTTTGGATTTTAAATTTTTTAAACAATAAAATATTAATTTTTAATAATTATTTGAGATGATATTTTAAGGATGTGTTTGTTTGGAGGTTTGGAATTTGAGTTAAAATTTGAATCGTAAAAATTTTGAATTGAAATAGTTGTTGATGCGATGTTTTAAGTGTAAAATTAATTATTAAAATAATATAAAAATAAAAAATAGGTATTTGATTTAATATTTTTGAGAAAAAAAAATTTAATAAATAGTGAAATTCTTACAAAATTCCTCAAACACACCCTAAATATAAAATTAATTTTGAATATAATGTAAAAATAAATACATAAATATTTAATGCCATATTTTTTTATAGAAATAGTAAACATTTTACAAAAATTTTCAAACAAACACAGCGTTATCATTTTTTTATATAAAATATCAAATCAAATATTTAATATTTATTGTTTATATTATATTAAAAATTAATATTACATTTATATATTATGAGTGTGTTTGTTTGGCAGGATTTTTCCCCAAATACACTATTCATGCAATTTTTTATTTCTCAAAAATATCAAATTAAGCACCTTTTTTTCATTATTTATATTATACTAAAAATCAATTTTACATTAAAAATATTACATCAACGCTTATTTATATCACATCATACAACTATTTAAATTCAAAATTTTTACTATTCAAATCCCAATTCAAAATTCAAACCCCCAAACAAACACACCATCAATTAGTACTCATATCACAATAAATAATAATTTAAATTCAAATTTTTATCATTGAAAACATAAATTTAAAACTAATGACCAAACACACACTATAATTAAAGGCGGTGTTTAGACTTCCTTTGGATTGGTGTTTTACAAGAATTTTAGATGATGAAAATGCTCCTCCAGCAAAGGCAACACAGGGGGCACGTCCAGACATCTCCTAACGATGCTCTAGTTTGGTAACGTAACCATACTGAGCAAAAGAAATGAAAATAATAACCGTCTGGATGAGATAGTGGCTGCAGGACCTTGGCGGTCCTCAGGGCAGGCCATCGTAAGGCCGCCACCACATTAGGGACCTCTGGGAAGCAGCGGGTACGCACCACCAGCGTCTCAATGGCAAAATAATATTTTGTTTAGTGGCATTAGCGCGCCCACATCACCCGTGGGGGCGAACGTTCCAAGAAATATCCCCGCTGGAGAAGAAACGGCTGACCCTTGGGGGGCACGGCTGACCACAGCCTCAACACCTCCGACTTAAGAGATGACTTGAGGGGCATCCACCCCACCTCTGAACCTTCCTTAGAGGGCAGCTTCTACTCTTTCGGGTCCATGGGGTCAGCTCCGTCGGCTGTAGCAGTGGCTTGGGACTCAGGTATACCAGCTCTGGCCGTGCCGCCTCCACCTGGGGGGCATGCAGGATGCCAGAATATTTTTTCAGCCGGACCAACCATACAACATGGGTACAGACCTCAACAACCATTGTCTTATCCGAGAGGAAGTGGGTACGCGCCACTAGCATTCCAATGACACAATAATCATTTATTTGGTGACGTAAGCGTGCCGACTTCACCCACAGAGGTGAATTGTCAAGGAAACATTCCTGTAGGAGGATAAGCTATTGATCATTGGGGGTCATGGCCGACCACAACTTCAACACCTCCAGTCGCCCCATTAATTCCAAAGATCACTTGGGGAGCATCAGCGTCACCTCCGAAGATACCCTGGGGGGCAGCTCCACCTCCTCCGGGACCCTACAGATCAGCCTCTTTGGCCGTTGCAGTGGCATAAGAATCAAATGTACCAACTCCATCGGCACCACCTCCGTATAGGGGACAAACATCATACCATGGGATGAATTTTTCTGAGGCATCCGAGCAGCTATAGGAATATGAATCTCCAAATCAGGGGGGGTTACAATAGCATTCCCGACTTCAGCGGCACCTTAGATGACTTGGGGGGCAGGTTCGATTCCTTCAAGAGCACCACCAGCCCTAAGGATGATTTGGGAGGCAGCTCCGACTCCTCCAGGAGCACCACCAGCTCTGCGAATGACTCAGGAGACACCTCTGGCAGCACATCCAACACCAACGACGCCACAAACAATCTGGGAGGTACATGCGGTGGTACTTCCAGCTCTAGACACTGCCTGGATAATAGTCCTGCCACCTCCGGCAGCACTTCCACAGCTTCAGAGGTTGTCCGGAGGACAGCCCTGCCACCTCCGGAAGCACTTCCAGCTTTGGACATTACTCGGAGGACAGTTTTGCCACCTTCGGAAGTGCATCCAGCTCCGGAAATTACTAGAAAAGTAGATCTGACAATGACGAAGCCTCCAAGAGCAATAAGAGATATAGATCCGCCACCTCCGCTACCTTTGGAAGAATCATTAGCACCGAAAAAGGGCCTGGAAAGACCTGCCGGCTCCGAGAAGGTCAACTCTGTCAAATCCGGACATAATGGCCCCAGATCCGGGCAGAACAGCCCCAGGTCCAGGAAGACCAACAACAGCCCCCTTGCAGCCCGGAGGATGTGCAAAAATATCCTTACCGCCGCGGCTGATTATCGATCTTCAAGAGATCGAAGAGGTAGTCCGAAAATATACGGCGACCCCATTCGGTTGCTCACAATGTCATACTATCAACGGTCATTCCCTGATCAGATCATCATCAACCGTCCTCTCTCCCGGAATGCTCGGACCCCGGAGTTTATGCTTTTTTAGATGGAGGACTCGCGCTCAACGATTGAGCATGTCGATCAATTCACGGCAAAGTGCAAAGGGGACTTCGAAGAAAACAAGCTATAGAAACTTCAACTATTTCCGTTATCCCTCACCAGACCAGCCTTCACATGGTATGCATCTTTCCCTCCTAATTCATTTCATACATAAAAAGATCTAGAAAGGGCATCCCATGAACGGTTTTATTGCCCGCTGCCGGAGGTGACGATATCTGACCTAACTAACCTACGGAAAAAGCATGATGAGCCGGTATAAAGTTTTTTGAAAAGGTTTCGTATGGTAGAAGGTCAACGTCAAGTGCGGATACCCAAAAACCAAGTTGTCGACATGGCAGTCGACAATATGATGTGTCAACTTCGTGAAAAATTGGCCTTTCAAGAGTATAATAATTTTCGACAGCTTTTTGTAAAGGCGGCCAAGGCGGAACAACTCCTCTGGGACTTCAGTGCCAAAGATCATTCACCGCATACGGAGGAAGGGAATTTCAATGTCGATGAAGGATCTGATCGGACTCCCGTGACCATCTAACCGTTGTATGCACCGATCAATACCGTCGGAGTACACCCAATGAAATCTCGCGCATCAGTAGCAAGTGACGACGGAAACTAGAGAAACCATTGTGACACATTTTTGGAAATCCATTTTGAAAAATATGGAGATATATGGAGGGTGGCCTTGGTGGACCGAGTGGTAATAACCTCTCATCCGACGCGGCGTTACAAGCAGCCCCCGAAAGATGAGCGCCGGACATGTGATCAGAGGAAAAAGAAGACGAAAGCACAAAGTCGGAGGAAGCGATGTAAGTGCCTGACAACTAGTTCCGATCAAAACAAGATAGGGTAACAACAAAATGAGCTCCGAGCAGGCCATATACACTGATGGATGTGTCGGACAAGAATGGTTTGCGACGTCCGCGCCGACTCCGACAAGAGTGGAGGCCAAAACAAGTGAGTTGGACAACAAAGTTGTCCCGGATGAACAACCTCTTCCGGAGGATCCAAAAGCTCCAAATACGGAGGACGAACCTATTATTAGAGTTCTCAAAGATGATGAAATTTCAGAGGCTAGTCTCGACATCATAGCCAACGATAAAGACTTGGAGCGAGCCCTACAGTACGAAGACGACTTCAAAGTCGAGGTGGTTGGATTTTTACCAAAAAATTCAGAAAGTTTTAATCACAACCGATGCACTCCCCAACAAATGTAACCCTAAGACGAACCTGACCAGCACCTTGCCGCTGCCGGATGAGGCCATATGAAGTTTAAGTTGTACCGTTGAAGTTTCATACAAAAATATTGGGCTCCAAAGTTTGGCAATGTTTTGCTCAAATATTTTTGTGAGGGGCATTTGTTATCTCTGAAATAATTTTAAGCCCAACAGACAAGGCGGCCCAACCCAGCCCGGAGGCCTACCATGGATGAGAGTTGCAGCAGCCCAAGAGCCCATTTCAGATGAAGATGACCCAACTCAGATAAAGGAAAAATGAAGAATGTGGGGGAGTTTGTTCCTTAAATGAGGGTCAAAGACTTGACCTAAAAAATAGGAAAGTAGAGATTATGTTGTGAATGTGGAAGAATGAGAAAAAGAGTGGCATTCATCGTCGGAGCTGGAAGTTGTACAATAATGAAAAAATTATAAAAGGGACATTAAGGGATCACAAGGGTTACGTCCAAAATCATTCCCAAGATTCCACAATCTATATTTTTTTCCTTCTTTTTTTCTTTTTTTTTTCTTTACTTTTATTGTTAGTAATTTATATTCTTTCTTGTTGTTAAATTTGTACATTACAACTTATTTCAATTGTCTTTCAAATTTATTTTGTTTTTCTTTCTATTTTTGTTCAAATTAATTCAATTCTGTAGAATCTATTTTCCTTTTTACTTATTTTTTTATTTTTATTTTCCTTCTTAGATGTTCGTGTCGTTGTTCTACCTTATAGTCTATCGTATTAATTTTTAGCGCAATTAGACACACATCAATTTCATCGTGAGACTTAGCCCGAATAGTTTCTAGAGTAGGCTGGAGAACCCGATTCTTTGCCGATTCCGACAAGCTTAATTTTTTTAGACCGTCATCGACGAATTTCAGCGTTAACCTATATAAAAAAGATGCTTCAAAGAATTCAACATAAG